ATGGCCTGCTGTGTTCATCCAGCTCTACACCTTGTTATCTCAGATTCTCCAGCATCGGCAGTTCCTACAATCTCTGACCATACAAGGTTATGGGATGTGGTGGGTAAAAGGCATTGAAGTGTTTGATCAGTCATAATCATGTTGAATGGTGGGACAGGATCAATGGGCTGAATGGCGTACTCCTGCACCCGTGTTCCTGAGTTGTGATCTGAAGATTAATAACAATCATGTATCATTCCTTATCTGTATTGAGGTTGCTGGTCTTAAATGAGCCAGCAGTCTGCTGGGAGTCAAGAGAGATACAATTAGAATCACTATTCTCTGTAATGTAGAGGGAGAGAAGTCAGTTCAGATTTCTGTCCCAGACCACACTGTAATAATCATTATTAGACAGTAGCTGGGAGTGGGCATCAGACTGGTGCAGCACATAATTGGCTCCTAGGCCTTTCGATTGCCTGTACCTTGGAAGAACCAGCAGACTTTGGAGAAGTGACAAGATACTCAGCAAATCCCAAAATCCCACTCAGACCCAACAGCTTCAGAAGAGAGGAAAACATTGCACAGATAGAGGAGGAAAGGGAGTGAATGACAGTAACTTAAAAAGAAACCAGCATTGACATTTTATGAATAGACTGTTAGCTATCTCAGATTGGGAAACCAGATACACTTTCTTATCTATACCACTGTTTGTATTATTTTCAAAGGTTTGTACACAGATGACATTATAAGGAGTTAAAAAGCTAAAAGAACAGGTGAAATGTAATCGTTCTGAAAGTAAACTGAGACAATGATCACTATATGACACAAAAGGGACAGGTGCACCCTTGATCAAACTCATTTAGGGGAGATTAATAGCTTCAACCTTCTCAAGTACTGTGCAGAGAAATCACTATCGCTGATTACATTCATAACTTTTATTACCTCTGTATATCTGCCAAGAGAATGGCAAGAACAGCATGGGGTTAAATACAGAGTAAAGCCTTCTCTATACTGTCCTCATCAAACACTCCTAGGATAGGTACAGCATGAGGTTAGATCCAGAGTAAGGTTCTCTCAACACTGTCTCCCATCAAACACTCCTAGGACAGGGACAGCATGGGGTTAGATAACAGAGTAAAGCTCCCTCTACACTGTCCCCCATCAAACACCCCCAGGACAGGGACAGCACCAGCTAGATACAGAGTAAAGCTCCCTCTACACTGCCCCTCATCAAACACTAAGAGGACAGGGACATCACAGAGTTGGATTTTTTGTATTCACTACTGGGATGTGGGTGTCATTGACTGGGCCAGCATTTATTACTCATCCCTAGTTGTCCTTGAGAAGGCGGTGGTGAGCTGCCTCTTGAACCGCTGCAGTCCTCCTGCTGGAGGTAGACACAAAAAACCCATAGGGAGTGAATTTCAGGATTTCGATCCAGCAACACAGAAGCAATGGTGATATATATCCAAATCAAGATGGGGAGTGGCTCGGAGGGGAACTTGCAGGTGGTGTTGTTCCCATATATCTACTGGCTCGCCCTTCTAGATGTAAGTAGTCATGACTTTAGAAGGTACCGTATAAAGATCTTTGGTAAAATTCTGCAGTATGTCTTGCAAATGATACACACTGCTGCTACTGAGCGTCGGTGGTGGAGGGAGTGGATACTTGTGGATGTGGTGTCAATCAAGCGGCTGCTTTGTCCTGGATGGTGTCAACCTTCTTGAGTGTTGTTGGGGGCTGCACCCATCCAGGCAAGTGGGGAGTATTCCCTCACACTCCTGACTTGTGCCTTGTAGATGGTGGACAGGCTTTGGGGAGTCAGGAAGTGAGATACTTGCCACAGTATTCCCAGCTTCTGGCCTGTTCTTGTAGCCATTGTGTTTACGTGGTGAGTCCAGTTGAGTTTCTGGTCAATGGTAACTCCCAGGATATTGGTAGTGGAGAATTCAAAGATGGTAACACTACTGTATGTCAAGGGGCAGTGATTAGATTGTCTCTTACTGGAGATGGTCACAGCCTGGTATTTGTGTGGTGTGAATGTTACTTGCCACCTGTCAGCCCAAGCCTGGATATTGTCCAGACCTTGTTGAATTTGAACGTGGACTGCTGCAGTGTCTGAGGATTTGTAAATGGTGTTGAACATTATGTAATCATCGACAAACAACCCCACTTCTGACCTTTTTAATGGAGGGAAGGTCATTGATGAAGCAGTTGAGGGTGGTTGGGCCTAGGACACTACCCTGAGGAACTCCTGCAGAGATGTCCTGGAGCTGAGATGATTGATTTCCCAACAACCACAACCATCTTCCTATGTCTCAGGTATGACTCCAACCCCCAGACAGTTTGCTCCCGGCTTCTCATTAATTCCAGTTTTGCTCGGGCTCCTTGATGCCACACTCGGTCGAATGCAGCCTTGATATCATGGCTGTCACTCTCACCTCACCTCTGGAATTCAGCTCTTTGTCCATGTTTGAACCAAGGCTGTAATGAGGCCAGGAGCTGCGTGGCTCTGGCGGAACCCAAACTGGGCGTCACTGAGCAGGTTATTGCTGAGCAGGTGCTGTTTGATAGCGCTGTTGGTGACACCTTCCATCACTTTACTGATGGTCGAGAGGAGACCGATGGGGCAGTAATTGACCGGGTTTGCCCTGCTTTTTGTGTACAGAACATACCTGGGTCAGTTTCCACATTGCCGAGTAGATGTCATTGTTGTAACTCTATTGGAACAGTAACACACAGGGTAAAGCTCTCTCTAATAAAAACTGAAAGAACTGCGGATGCTGCAAATCAGAAACAAACATAGATATTGCTGGAAAAGCTCAGCAGGTCTGGCAGCATCTGTGAAGATAAATCAGAGTTAATCAAAGTGACCCTCTGAGGAAGGGTCAAAATGTTAACTCTGATTTCTCTTCACACATGCTGCCAGACCTGCTGAGTTTTTCCAGCAATTTCTGTGTTTGTTTTTAAGCTCTCTGCACACCGTCCTCATCAAACACATTCCACGATAGGTACAACACATGGTTAGACACAGAGTAAGGCTCCCAATAAGCTCTCTCATTGAACACTCACAGGGAAAGAACACCAGGCATTATTTAAGAGTAAAAACCCACTATCACTGTCAAATGAAATGCTCCCAGGTCAGAGTTTACTTAGTTGTCCTCTTCTGCAGAGGTTTCTCTTTCCCTTTCTTCTAACCTGTTTGGTATTTGCGTTAGTGAGGAGACTGAAAGTTTCTGCAGTAGTGATCAGATAAGCTCCACTAGTGCAGGCACAGCCACATTACCTTCTGGATGCACTCACCTGTATGAGGTAATCTTTTGCAACCTTTCCACTGGCACATCGTAGCCACATTCCTCCAGAACCTCTTCCTTGGCTATTTGCTGCAGTGAAAGCCCAGGCTTATCGACAATTCCAGCACAGAGCTCGTAGGTGACACCAGCGGAAGCAGGCAGGAGTTTGACTGACTGAGAAGAATCATCTTCAGTTGTCTCATCGGCTGGTACCAATCCTTGCCTTGCACACTCACACATGTAGACAGCTGCAAATGAAGGACTACAAGACTCAGCAACATTCACCATAAATACTAATAGCACTCAAGGTGGCTAATTTGTCCATTGCTGCCAGCTAAGAGCTGTTCAATTATTCCCATCTGCCATAGCACGGTGTATGTTCCCTTTACAAGTGTTGACCTAATTCCCATTTAAAAGTTATTTCTGAATCTGTTTCCACCAACTTTTCAGGCTGTGTCCAGATCACAACAACTCAGTGTATAAAAAGATTCACGCCATCACTTCTCGGCTTCTTTCAGCAAATATCTTAAATCTTATCCTCTTGTTAATGATCCTCTACCAGTGAAAACTGTTTCTTCCTATATATTCTGTCAATGCCCCTCATCATTTTGAACACCTCACAACACTCGCCTTAATCCTGTTTGCTATAAAAATATAAATCCCAGCTTCTCTCCTCATTACATAAGTCTCCCATCCATGGTACCATTCTAGTATCTTAGCTCAACTTTATTCAGTGCCCTTCATAAAATCTACTCTATACTGAAGAAGACATCTCTCAGCTTCCCAGTGAATGCAGGAAATACTTGTACCGACTGGAAATCTGCAAAAATTCAGTTGACACCCTTGGCCCTTTAACACATTCCCTTTAAACTTTTGCCTCTTAATCCATGGGCCATTTCTCTTATGCAGCTAAGTGAGCAATATCTGCTTCCAGGAATGACCTATGTCACTTTTGATCAGACAGATTTGATCTTAACTACATTTACAGGACTACTTTTGCAATACTGCACTCAGTTCTGGTCTCCCTGCGAGAGGGAAAATGTTGTGAAGTTTGAAAGAGTTCAGAAAAGATTTACAAGGATGTTGCCGGGGTTGGAGGGTTTGAGCTAAAGGGAGAAGCTGAATAGGCTGGGGCTATTTTCCCTGGAGCGTCAGAGGCTGAGGGGTGACCTTATAGAGGTTTATAAAATCATGAGGGGCACGGATAGGGTGAATAGCCAAGGTCTTTTCCCCGGGGTGGGGGAGTCCAAAACTAGAGAGCATGGGTTTAAGGTGAGAGAGGAAAGATTTAAAAGGGACATAACAGGCAACATTTTCATGCAGAGGGTGGCGCATGTAAGGAATGAGCTGCCAGAGGAAGTGGTGGAGGCTGGTACAATTACAACATTTAAAAAGCATCTGGATGGGTACAGGAATAACAAGGGTTTCGAGGGATATGGGCCAAATGCTGGCAGATGGGACTGGATTAATTTAGAATATCTGGTCGAGTTGAACCGAAGAGTCTGTTTCCATGCTGGATAGCTCTATGACTCTATGACTACTGAGAAAAGCAGAGGGGAATGGGGCTAGCTGAGTTGCTATTGGAGACAGCCAGCACGAATTCAATGAGCTTTTTGGGCGCTATCACTGTTCATTAGCTCTGACATTTATTAAAAGGCTCTAAGTGTCAAACTATCAAGTGATTTTCTTCCTTCTGTCCTGGAGGGTAGGTGCCTCACCAGAGAACCAAGACTGAGACCTGCATTTTGTCAGCCTGTAGCCTCTTTACTCACCTGAGTGAATGGCAGTGTTTGCACTGAAGGAGCTTCAAAAAGGTGCTGATGAAGCGTTGAAGTGCAGGAAATTGTGTTGGCCTTGTCTCTCTCATTTCAGAGTCTAAAGGTTGCGAATTTACGACCAACTCTGTGGTAATTGAATTTAAGGCTGGCATTGCCAGTGTAGTACAGAGGGGTCAGTTAGTTCAGTTGGCAGATCTGAATGCAGAGCGATACCAACAGTATGGGTTCAATCCCCAAACCAAATGGGGTTACTTCCAAGGTGCCACCTTCCCAACATCTCTCCTCACCTGAGGCACGGTGATCCAGAGGTTAAACAAGCACCAGTTGTCTCTCTCTCTGAGAGAGCAGCCCCACGGTTCTCCATGGCGAGTACAGAGGGAGTGCTGTACTATCAGAGTTATTAAATTTTAGGTGACACCTTAAACAATAATTTACCTGCTCATTCAGTGTGGACAAAATCAATTATGCTGAAAAGAGCAGGACATTTCTTATAAGTTTTACATTTATGCTGGTCAGTATCAGTAAAACTCCCCCACCGTTTCTGCCGCCTCCAGCAGGATACTACCACCAAACACATCTTCCCCTCTCCTCCACTATCAGCACTCTGTAGGGAGTATGCTCTCCCTGACACCTGGCTCCACTCCTCCATCACTACTAACACCTCCCCGCACCCCCAGGGCACCTTCCCATGCAATTTTCAATATCCTGAGGATTTCAGCCTTGATTTCCTTCTGAGGGCGGAGAGAATCTGGAACTCACTGCCTGGAAGGCAAAGTATCCTACCTCTAAATCGATGTCCTCGGCTATGAACCCCCTAACCAAGGGAAAGAAGGACCACCCACTCCCCTCATTTCAATCAGATCTCCCCTCAGCCTCCTCTATACAAAAGAAAACACACCCTCCCCCCACCACCAAGTCTGTCCAACCTTCCCGTCTTCAGTGGAGGGAAGATTCAGGAACCCGGCATTATTCCTGCAGACTCCCGCGCGCGCGTGCTGTCACTGGAAATAGAAAACAACAGACTGACTCCAGCCTCCACATGCTATTAGATCAATCCAGAGATTAGCCACAGGCCAGTGCAGGCTACAGCAATGCTTCAGTGATCAAAGGCAATTTACCCAGTATATGTTTAACTAAACTCGTTTACACATAATAGTGAGGCAAAGGCTAACCCAAAATAAAGAAGGGTTTGGTTGGAAATGAAATCAGGCACTTGAATGCATTTCAATTAAATGCTTTGCCAAGACAAGCTTTTCAGATAGCAGGATAAAGAATGAGGCATGGGGCAACAGGGACCAGAATTACACGGTGTTGATGAATGTAAAAATGTACAAACAATGCATGCTGCTTTCCTCCTCTCCCAGGAGCAATCAGTGTTACACCCGTCCTGGCATGTTCACAAACACCAAATCTTAATCTTTCGTAAGCAAATTGAGAGAGAAGGCTGCTACTCACTCTGTCAAAAGTAGTTTGTTAAAGTCATATCAAAGAGCCTGTCAAAGTTTCACTACCTGTTGATGCCATCCGTGAACAAATCAGTGTGGCTATTTCCATTCAACTCTCAGTCTGCTTTTCCCAACAGATGCTGAGCCAGTCCTATAACGGTGCCAATGTTGTATGCACGTTTCACAACGTTCACTGTCCTTAAGGGAAAGAGAGCTTCTTTATTAGTGACCTCGAGATTTTATCTCAGAATCCCCAGTTCACCTTCTTGACTGTAACTTTCTATTATTTTAGACACTCATCAAGTCATCTCAAGTTTAGTATTACGGAATTATACAACATAGGCCGCTATTCTGTTCATCATCTCTCAGAGTTATCCAATTCAAATCTCTCCTTCCCCATAGCTCAGTATCATAGAATCATACAGGTACAGAAGACGCTGTATGGTCCATTAAGTCTGCAGCAACAGAACTACGCTAAATTGACACTAGTCCCACTTTCCCCGCACATGGTCCACAGCCTTCAATGTTATGACAATTCAAGTTCTCATTCAAGTACCTTTTAAAGTTTGTGTGGGGTTTCCCATCTCAACTACCCTCCCAGGCAGTGCACTCCAGACACCCACTACCCTCTGGGTAAAAAAATGTTTCTTCAAATCCCCTCTAAACCTCCTGCCCTTCACCTTAAAATTATGCCCCCTTATGATTGACCCTTCAACGTAGAGGAACAGCTAATTTCTACCCACGCTGTCCATCCCCCTCATAATCTTATACACCTCTATCAGGACCTCCCCACCGCACCCCCACCTCCCGCATCAACTTTCCCTGCTGAAAGAAAACAATCTGAGCCTATCCAACTTCCCTTCATAGCTAAACATGCAGGTCAGGCAGCATCCATGGAGAGAAAGTAAGCGATCATTTCGAATTTAAATGACTCTTCATCAGAGGTGTAGTGAGGTGTGGAGGAGGCAGCATTTACGCAATGGTAGTGTAGGGGCATTGGGGCACTGGGGTAAGAAAGGATGTCTAGTAATTTGCCCAAAAAGTTATTAATGTGAGCAACAACACATTGGTGAGATACTCAAATGTCATAGGTAAGTCTAATCCTGTCTACAAACAATAGCCCCAGCAAACATCAGCTGATATGGGGGCTGTCCTGACTGTGGTTGGTGCCTTTCTCCACGGAATCGCTGGGATATATCTCACTGGTGCTGAGCTCATGTACTCATGCCTATTGGTCTTGACTCAACACAGGGACACTGCAACAGACAGCCCATTGTATCCTGTTCGGATTCCAAATGTTCCTCACATCTCTGCAGGCAGCAATGGCCTAGTGGTATTATCTGGACTGTTATTCCAGAGACCCAGAGAATGTACTGGGGACCCGGGTTCGAATCCTGCCGTGGCAGATGGTGGAATCTGAATTCAGCAAATATCTGGATTTAAGAATCTAATGATGACGGTGAATCCATTGTTGATTATCGGGAAAAACCCATCTGGTTCACTAATGTGCATTAGGGAAGGAAAGTGCCATCCTGACCTGGTCTGGTCTACATGTGACTCCAGACCCACAGCAATGTGGTTGACTCTTAACTGCCCTCTGGGCAATTAGAGATGGGCAATAAATGCTGCCTGGCCAGCAACGCCCTCATCCTGTGAATGAATAAAGGAAAAAAAAACACACTTCTCAGCAAAGGTTACCTGGGCGAAACTGCTTGACCAGGATAAAGGATTCCTGTGTAGTATTGAAGATCAGGACTGAGACACTGAGATAGAAAAAGGAGAAAAGAAACAATATTCATTACACTGTTTTCCAGAACAGCACACAATTTTGTGAAAGTGCTGATGAGCAGAGAGACTCTGATGCCCACATACACAAATCCTTCCATTGGCATATCTAAAAATGACTGTGGGCCTGCAGTGCACCATCTCCACCCCCAAACCACCCTCCCCACCGCTCCACAGACAAATTTTCATCCAAAAAGTTTGTAACTTTGCTTTGACAATCAGGTGTGTTACAATGTCCCTTAAAGGGACCATTACTGGTCACTTTGGTTTAATTAGTTCATTTGGCTCTTAGTTAATTTTCTGATTTATTTAAAAGAGTGTGCAAAGTCCTTATAGGTGGCAAGGCAAGTTGATAAGCTTGTTACAAAAGCGTATTGGATACCTGGGTTTATACATAGAGGAATGGAATTGTAAAGACCACATCTTTTTTATTTTTCTTTATTTTGGGTTACGGACCAAAATGGGAAAAGTCTGCTCTAAACCAAGGAAACTGTGGAAGGAAATGTTGCAATTTTAAAACAAGTTAATGGAACCCATTGTGAATTGTAGTTACACTATTGCCTTGTTCAAGGTGTGGGGGAGGATTACTGAACTCATTGGCTCTGCTCAGGGTAGTTTTGCCCAGAGACAGCTTGTTGATTGGTCTTTTAATCAGGATTGTTCTGTAGGTCAGGAATCCTCAGCGTAACAACAACATCCTGATTGGCTCCTGGGCAGGTAGGCAGCCTGTGTGTGAACAATACACAGGCAGAAAGTTTCCAGATCTCAAAGAGACAACATCCTCTCTCTCCTTGCAGAGAAGTAACAAAGAAGTGGAAGATAGCTCGCTATTCTTGCTCACCATTTATCTACAAGCTGCTGCCTCTAACCATTGACTGGCAGACAGAATAATTAGTGTGCCAACTGTCCTCTGCCTGTGATAAGGAATTGAAAGGACTTGGAAATAAGAAGACCTGAGATCAGAACAAATCAGAAGCAAAAGGAAGGCTCATTGAATCCTGTGAACTGGTGCTATTGAACTGTGCTTCCCTCAGAATTTTTTCTCCACCCATAACATTGATATGTTTTTTAGATGTATGTCTATCTGTACATGTATGTAGAGGTTTGAGAAGAGGTAGAGTTTAGGTTAGAGAGTTGTAAACTGATCATTTATATTTGGCTTGCCTGCGGTTAAGACTGGTTTATTTGTATTAAACAATTTTTTTTGTTACGTACAATAATCTGTACTGTGTTTTCAGCGTTAACTGCTATATGAGTTCATTAAACAGGAAAATTAGGGATCTTGAATAATTTGATTTAATCCTTAACTTTTGCAAAGACCCAAACTGTAGTGGGGCTTTGATATCTGTGTACACTCCCCAGTGGATCAGGACCGAATAGGACAGAGATTATGCTAGGAATATTAAAATAATCACTGGTTTGGCTTCAGCTGGAATATGATGGATAATTCTGGGCTCAAGACGCAACTGCCTCAGAAAGGGAATAGAGGAGACTCACCAGGATGGGTGTTATTCGCTGATGGGGAGAGGTCGGAAATGTTGGGACTCTTCTCCTTGGGGAACAAAGAGGATTGAGCTAATGGAGATTTTCAAAATAATGACAGGTTGGGTGGATGGGTGAATAACTAGAGGTCAGAAGTATAAAATCATTGGACAATTTTCTGGTGGTGGAGAAATGCTTTCCCTCAGAATTTTTTTCGAATTTAGAACACTACTTGAGAAGGTGGTGGAAGCTGATTCCATCCATATTTTTAAAAGGAAGCTGGGTAGTTACTTGAGGGCAAGGAACTTACAGGGGGTATGTAACCAAGCAGCCCTGCTCTTTCAAAGAGTCAGCACAGTTTGATGGGCCAAACAGCTTCCTCCCACCGTCTAAGCTCAATTATTCTGTGACTATTAGCATTGCCTTTAAGTTGCCTTTATCTTCTATAACATTGATAAAATTCTTTACCAAGTTCTCCATGGCCTCACCCCTCATTAAGTCAGTAACCCCCTCCAGCTCTACAAGCATGAGACCCCAGAACTGCTCCAGTCTGTGACCCCTCTCCATCCTGCTGTTAGTGGCCAGGTTTGGCCGAATGCCCTGGAATTCCAACCTCAAACATCCCACATCCTTGAACCCTCCGTAGGCTCTATTTGACGAAGTCTGTCGGTATCCCAGTCAAAAGTTCCTTTCTTTGGTTCAGCGTCATTTATTGCTTGCCTCTACTCTTGTAATGTTTTCCCATGGGAATTGTTGCATGAAAATTGGCAACCACATTTCCCACATTAAAACAGTGACTAGAATTCAAAAGTAGTTTGTTTAGTTGTAAAGAACTTTGCAAAGTTCTGCAGTTCGGTGAGGCAGCATTTCTTTTCTTCCCCCTAATGTCAGCAGATTGACCTTTCACCTGTAGTTGTCTCTTTGATCCATTGATCCCCAGACACCCCAGAGACCCAGTAGAAATGAAGCACCTCTCAGGCTGATGACGCTTGATGGCCAAACCAAAGCTAATGGATCACATCAAGCTCAAAGTCAAGCTCCCAGCTAGCTGAAAGAGTTCAGGAAATTCAACTCTTCAGGCATTTGTATTTCTATCTCACTGGTTTGTCTGGTCAGTTTTGGGCTTGAGGTTTGGGACAGGCTGTTCTGGTCACTGTTGTCTCAGTGGTGAATAGATCATGACCTTTCTGTAAATGTGAAGGCTAACAGAAATCAGTCCCATCAGGACAGGGGGAGAAACAGGACTGGAAATCGGAGGCAAAACATGATGTGGGTGACAGAGTCTCCAGCTGGCAGTTAGATTGCTGGTCTCTCACCAGCTTCGCCACGTTCCAGAAGGCAGGAAATTGGAACTGAGGGTTATCCAATCAGCCACGATCTCAATGAATGGTGTGGCAAACTCGATGGGCTGAGTGACCCAATTCTGCTCTGGGTCTGGAAGGCCCTGACACGAAGAATGACTAGCCAATCAGAGGACAGTAGCTCCTTACTGCTCAGTCGGAAGGCAGAAGGGTCACCCCTCCTGCCCAATCACAGCTCCACCCAGCAACCCCTACCCCCCCCACCCAGCCCCCAACCACACACACACACACAATCACCAAACTGACCATGGTGGGGGGGTGCAAGCGTGAAGTCCATCACCTCAAATACCTATCTTTTCTCTAGGGTAGGGGAGTTCAAGACTACAGGGCATATTTTAAAGGTGAGGGGCAAAACATTTAAAAAGAACATGAGGGGCAACCTTTTCACACAGAGTAGTTAGTGCGTAGAACGAACTACCAGAGGAAATGGTGAATGCAAGTCAAGTTACAATATTGAAAATTCATTTGTATAAGCACGTGAATAAGAAATGTTTGGAGGGATACGGGCCAAACGTACACAGGTGGGACTAGTTTAGTTTGGGAACATGGTCGGTGCGGACTGGTTGGACCGAAGGGTCTGTTTCCATGGTATATGACTGCATGAGTGAAAATCGGCCATTACTTGTGTGTAATTCATGATATTTTAATGCAGAGCAAAGTTAATAGCATTTATCACCCATCCTAAGAAGGCGACACAAGGTTTATAAAACAGCACACCCCGATAAACCTCTCTAGATGGCAGTTAAGAATCATAGAATCCCTACAGTGTGGAAGCAGCCATTCAGCCCATCAAGTCTACTGCAACCCTCCGAACAGCAACCCATCTGGACCTACACCCCTACCCTATCCCTGCACTTCCCACCCTAGACACCATGGGCAATTTAGCACAGCCAATCCACCCCAACCTGCACATCTTAGGATTGTGGGAGCAACCTGGAGGAAACCCACGCAGACACGGGGAGAATGTGCAAACTCCACACAGACAGTCGCCCGAGGGTGTAATTGAACCCGGGTCCCTGGCGCTGTAAGGCAGCAGTGCTAACCACCGGGCCACCCAAAAGAGTTAACCTTGTTGAATAAAATAATGGATATGCATTTTCATGTCCACCAGACCCACTGAAATTAATGATGTACTTCTGAATGGTAATGTAGCACCCAATGTTATATACAGCAAGCCCACACAAACAGCAATGTGAATGGACAGGTACTTAAATGTTTGCGACACAGGAGGCCATCTGGCCCATCACTTTCACACCAGTCTACAAAGATCTGACTGTACTAATCCCAGTTTCTAGCTCTTGACCCAAAAGACCTGGAAGCAATGACAATGCAAGTGAATATCCAAACGCTGCTTAAATGTTACGAGTTTCTGACTCAACCAGACTTTCAGGCAATGCGTCCCAGACTCCCATCATCCTGTGGGTGAAAACATTTCTCCTCAACTCGCCTCTTGACCTTCTATCTCTCATCCTGAAACTAACAAAACCAACCAAACCTGCCCAGCCTTTCCTCATAGCTCAGACCCTCCAGACCAGTCTCGTCTGCACCCTCATCGAAATAGTGTCTCAGGAGGTGTCACGTCTATCCAACAGGGCAGTCAGAGCTCTTGCTCAGTGTCTCACCGAGCGGACAGGACCTTTGACAGTACAGCTCTGAGGTTTGGGGCATGCTAAACTCCAGCTGCGGAGCTTGAACCTACAATATTTCCTGACTTAGACATGAGGGTGTTGGAAGGAAGGGCACAGGAGGGGATGGAGGGGATGGGGTGTGCATTGGTGGGAGAGGACTCTAGGATGGGGGTGGGGCAGAGGGGGTTTATGAGGGAGGTGTGTTGGTGGAGGAGGGTTAAAGGCTGCAGGGGGAGAGGGGATGACTGGGAGGTGTGTAAAGGCAGAGTCAAACAGAACTGGGTAAGGGGAAGGCGGTTTGGAGGGGAGAGGTGGAGGAGGAGATGAAGGATGAACAGAGAGAGAGAGAGAAAGGATAAGGTGAGAGGGATGCAGAGGGATTACAGGTTTTGTCTTGCTGTTTAAACTTTAATGAATTGGTGCCATTCGGTTGTTCTGAATAATTCCACTAAAGCCGTTCAGCTGCAAGTCTGGAAACTGCTCTGCTATCAGACAGCATCAGCAGCT